TTTATCACAGCAACACAAAAGCAAATTAGAATAGAAGGTACACACCACAATGCCCAGTTTAAATCCATTCATTTATAAAGTGCCCAGCCTTAGGTATTTTGTTCTAGCAACACAAATCAGGTTAAAACATTAACCTTAGCAGGGCGTGGTGGTGCACACTTTAATCCCAGCACTCGGAGGCAGAGGCAGGCAGCCCTCTGTGAGTTCAAGGCCGGCATGGTCTACACGGCGAGTTCCAGGTCAGCTGGGGCTACAGGGAGACCCTGTCTCAGAAAGACCAAAAACCAAACCAAAACAACAACAACAACAACAACAAAATAACAGCTTTTTCTGGGCTACAAAACAATAGCAATTTCATAACATTCAATTTATTTAGTTTTATTTGAAAAATTTGAAGGGTAATATTGTTTTACTTGAGATACACACTCATACTATGTAGACCAGGTTGGCCTTAAACTCACAGAGATCCACCTGCTGGGATTAAAGGGTAATTTTTTTTTTTTTTGAGACAGGGTCTCCTTGTAGCCCCAGCTGTCCCGGAACTCACTATATAGACCAGGCTGGCCTTGAACTCACAAAGATCCACCTGCCTCTGCCTCGCAAGTGCTGGGATTAAAGGCGTGTGCCACCATGCCCAGCAAAGGAGCAATTTTTTGTTTGTTTTTTTGTCTTTTTGAGACAGGGTCTCCCTGTAGCCCCATTGGCCTGGAACTCACGATGTAGACCAGGCTGGCCTCAAAACTCACAGAGATCCATCTGCCTCTGCCTCCCGAGTGCTGGGATTAAAGTAAAGGGTAATTTTTAAAATTAAGTTTATTTTGTATCTGTGTGCTGGTTATGTAAGTGTGCATGCCACAGTGTGCTTGTGGAGGTCAGAGGACAACTCTCAGTCAGTACTTTCCTTCCATCATGTGGGTTCTGGGGCTCGAACTCAGGTGCCAGGCTTGGCAGCAAGAGCCTGTCCCTGTTGCGTCATCTTGCCGGCCCTCAAATTTTTTAAATGTTTATTTAATTTATTATCATTGTGTATACATGATGTGTGTGTGGGTGTAGGCATGTATGCACCACAGCATATGTGTGGAGGTCAGAGGTCAACTTCAGAACTCGTTTTCTCCTTTAGTCTTTATGTGGGTTCTGGGGATCAAACTCATCATCAAACTTGCATGGCAAACTCTTATCTGCTGAACCATCTCATTGGCTCCCACTCCACTCATGTGAATGTAAACAGAGGGGCTAGAGAGTGGCTCTGCAGTTAAGAGTGCTTACTGACTGCTTTTGCAGAGGATCTGGGTTCAGTGTCCAGCACCCAAATCAAGATGCACACACATACATGCAGGCAAAACATCCATACATATGTGTATCACATAAGTGCAAATGCCCACAGAGTTCTGAAGAGAGTGTCAGGTCCCATGGATCTGGAGTTAAAGGTGGTTGTGAGCCAACCTGACGTGGGTGCTGGGAACTGAACCCAAGTCCTCTGGAAGAGCAGTAAGTGCTCCTAAGCCCTGAGCCATCGGCATCCCCCAAATTAGATTGTCTTTAAATATATATATTTACTTTTTTTTTTTTTTTGGTTTTTTTGAAACAGGGTCTCCCTGTAGCACTAGCTGTCCTGGAACTCACTTGAACTCACAAAGACCCGCCTGCCTCTGCCTCCCGAGTGCTGGGATTAAAGGTGTGCCCACCACGCCTGACTACATTTACTTTTAAAACATATACACATATAACACCAGCCTCAGGGTTCAGATACTCTCTTCTGCCCTCCAAGGGCACCTGCACTTATGCGCACCCCCTCACCCATTTACCTAATTAAAAATAAAACAAATCTTAACTATAATAGCCAGCTAAGAGATAAAAACATAAGCATAATTGGGGTTCCCAGCAACCCTGACATAGACTGAATCACTGGGGATAACTGTCCTTGAATTCCTGGATTAGATGCCACTCTGCTGTGGCCTGTTTATTTAAGACACCGCTGAGCTTGTTGCCAGCACCTCCTGTGGGGTTTCACACAGGCTCACGTTCAGAGCGGGGATGCCCGACTTCCAAGGATGGGGGCCTTTTCCTGATGGGAGGAGGGCGCGGCACCGACCTGGGATGAACACCTAGCATCTGCTCATATCTGTGGGCCTCCGTGGCCACATCAGCACTCACCCCACAGCCAGCTTAGGACCACGGCCATGTCAGTACCACAGCCAGGTGAGCACTATGCAGGCAGCACAGACCTCAGCCCACAGGAGGCTGTGCTGTGTAGCAGTCTCCTCTGAAATGAAACAGTCCTTCCTGCACTGGAATTTGCTGGACTGAGGAAAAAACTCAGAAGCTTCAGGAAGTCCCTGAATCTGACCAGATGTACTAGGCCCTCCCTCCCAAGCTTATAGAAGGAGGGCTGAAATGTGAGGTGACTTTAATGGGAAAGACTGAGGGAAACATAACGCCTGGCAGCTTTAATCTTTTTTAAAAAGTATATTGGCTGGGCGTGGTCATGCATGCCTTTAATCCCAGCACTCCGGAGGCAGAGGCAGGCGGATCTCTGAGTTCAAGGCCAGCCTGGTCTACATAGTGAGTTCCAGGACAGCTGGGGCTACAGGGAGACCCTGTCTCAAAAAGACCAAAAAGAAAAAAAAATAAATAAATAAAAAATAAAATAAAATAAATAAAAGTATATTTTATTATTTTTATTTTATGTGTATGAGTGTATTGGTGCATGTATTGTGAGTGCACCTGTGTCGTGCAATGCCGCGAAGGCCAGAAGAGGGCGTCGGATTCCACTGGAACTGGAGTTAAGGGCAGTTCATAGATGCCATGTGGGTGCTGGGAATTAAACCCGGGTCCTCTGCAAGAGCAGTTGGTGCTCTTAACCACTGAGCCATCTCTCCAGCTCCAGCACAGCTTTAATCTTACACCATGTTCCCCATTGTGATTCAGTGATGTCCCTGAATGACAGTGATGACGTTGACAACTGTTCCTTCACAGACGTTACAAACATGGGGTAGGTTGATGACATCTCTTTGGCTTTGTGGGTTGTTTAATCAGTATGGTGAGAAAAATGACTTCTTCCTTCGTAAAATGTTGTCAAGGCCTAGCGTGGTGGCGCACGCCTTTAATCCCAGCACTTGGGAGGCAGAGGCAGGCGGATCTCTGAGTTCGAGGTCAGCCTGGTCTCCATAGTGAATCCAGGACAGCTAGGGCTACAGGGAGACCCTGTCTCAAAAAGACAAAAA